AATTTAATCTAAGTTTACAACGTCCATAGTACATAAGGTTTGGTAACTTATTACGATCAACACGAAACGAACTCTGTTCATCTTAGTACTGTACGTTAAGAAAGCGGATAACCTAGGGGAGGAAATATCGAGTAGGTTTATGCGTTTTATCCCACAATCACTTTAGACAACGAAAATTTATTATGAAGCAAATTCTAATTTTTATTATCAGACTGTACATTGCTTTTATAGAAAATAAGTCTATTCTATTTTCACGGTGTTTATACTCCAGTATCCTTCATATACTCTCCATATACCGTATATACTGTATCCTCTTTATAAGCGTTATAATTATTTTTCCAGCAGTTGCATGGTAGATGTCTTGAGGCGTTTGTAGATACCGAACCCATATTAGCTAACTTAGATTATTTTGCTTTAATCAGTTTCACGCTCCGACTTCAACGTAGAATTTCCGTGGCATCAGATAGCTTCATCAACAAATCAGTTTTTCGGGTTCTTACGTTAATGCAAACATATTTCTGCTTCCCGTAAAGAACTTGCTTTAGGAAACGTATTTTTAAAGATCAACAATATATAACTTTTGGGGATGCTAATGTGTCATGACTGGTCGTGACTTTAACCGATAGTCTGGTCACAAATCTAATCAATAACGATAAGCAAATTTATATTCATTAATTAATAGCAAAGAAAGCAATAATCCTTACCAGCACATTGATCATATTTTTCAAGTAGGCAAAGCATGTCTTTACGAATTCGATAGTTTCAAATTTATCAATAGATTTATAATTTAAGACTTCCGATGATGAAAATTGTACCCATTATAATTTCTTGAAAAATTTTTAGCATCATCAACATTTATAGAAAACTATTTGTTGCATCGTTTATTGATCGTAAGAGTTTTCATAAACTCAATGAATAGATGCATTAAAAATTTTTGCTTAAATAATAAGAAGGTAAATTAAGTACTTTTATATTAACAACTCATCACATTGATGTTTTCAATAACGTCTGAGTCATTAATTATCCTTCTTAGTATTTCGAAAATGCTTCGAGTTTTCTCAATGTTTTATTTCAGTATATTATTTTTCCTCTGTGCCCTATTAATTACACTTAAGATCTTTTATCTCCTACATAATAGAAATATGTTTATTAAGACAATGATATCAATAAATATTTGACTGCTCCGACCGACTATGAATGCTTTAAAGAAATAATATTTTCTAATAATTTTTGAAATTACAGTATACAAATTACCTGGTAAAAATTTGAAGTTATTTCATATTCGAAATAAATATTTTTCGCATTTCATCTAAATAAATTATAACAAAATAAATAATAAATTAATTAAAAATTCTTTTTTTTTAAACTCTAAATAATATATCTAAAAAAGTTAATTTCAATTTATATCGTTTTCGCTTTGATTTTAATATTTTGAAATTTTCGCTTAGTTTGCTTAAAAATCACCTTTAGTTCCTTGGTTAACGAAACCTTTTAAATATTTCATTACGTATAAATTTTTCTTGAGTCTTCTTTTTTCTTTCTTTACTGATTTGAATTTTCTTGATAATCGAACTTCACGTTGACCTCTTATAATGTAAAAGAAATAATCAATCTAAAAATAAAAATAAATAAAAAAAGGTAAAATATTACGCGTCTCTTTTTGTTGACTATTTATCTATTATTGTTATATCGATATCAGGGACACGGAAAATTTATTTGGGTATCGGCAGGGTTGTTAATGGTAAGTTACTATGGTAAGTTACCATGGTAAGTTACCGGTAAGTTACCATAAGTTTTGATATTAAGTTACCAGTTATACAAATTATTTAAGATTTATTTTTAGAAAGATTTTTTTAGCAAATATATTATTTTAATGATTTAATAAAAAAATTCTTTGTTAAATTAATTTGTTGCTATTAGATCTTATAGTGCTTTGCAAAAATATATGAACATGTGATTTTTGTGATGATAATGATAGAGAATCATTGAGATTATTCAAATATAAGAATTTATACTAATAATATAATTACATATTGTTACAGAGAGTTTTGACATGAGATAGCAATTATTATTATATTTAGTAAAATTGTAAATAGTGTAAAGATAGTCAAACCAGTAATAATTGTTAATTACATAATATTTGTAAAAACTATCAAGAATATAAAGATAGAAAATATAGTAAAATTTTTTTTTTTTTTTTTTTTTTTTTTTTTTTTTTTTTTATTGATACAATACCATCAGCTGAAACTTTTATTGGTTATTTGATAGTAGG